ACGCATATATATATATATATATATATATATATATATATATATATATATATATATATATATATATATAAATAAAACGTATCTAAGACATATATATTGTATCTATACGTTTGTATTCTCATTCATGTGCCTCACCTGTTAAAAGGTGCAGTGCAAAAGGTGTCTTTAGTGTAGCACAAAACTAATAGTCCACCTGTTTTTTCCTGCTTGATCTCATAACATTTGTTTATGTCTAAACCAAGTAATTTTGGTGTTGTTAATGATGTAAAGTATTAATTTGAGCAATATTCTACAAGCAAAATTGAAAAACTCACTCATAAAGACAGTAATCTGTCAACCTAAAGAGTTACTGAACAGTCCTCACCATCTGATACAGCGTTGAGTTCTGTGCATCTCCAAGATCTACCCAGACACGACACGATATAAACACATTCTAGAAAATTCTGTGCTTCCAACTTTGTGGTGCTGGTGTGTACTTAATAAAGAAAGATTGACAGTGGGCCAGAAATATTGATAATGTAGTGTTTTGTTCAGTGTGAGCTCAGAGCTGAGTTCTGCAGACTCTCGAATCCTTTCTTTATAACCAACAGTGTTGATAAAAACCCAAAGACTTTGAACTGAAGATTATAAAGTTTTAAAGTGACTTTAAAACTTTATAATATACATGTGGCCAAGTATGGTGACCCATACTCAGAATTAGTGCTCTGCATGTATCCCATCCAAAGTGCACACACACAGCAGTGGGCAGCCATTTTTTTTGCCCCCAGGGAGCAGTTGGGGGTTCAGTGCCTTGCTCAAGGGCACTTCAGTCGTGGTATTGAAGGTGGGAGAGAGCACTGTACATTCACTCCCCCCACCTACAATCCCTGCCTCTACGAAACTCAAACCTGCAACCTTTGGGTTACGAGTCCAACTCTTTAACCATTAGGCCACGACTTCCCTTATTATACATGTGCTCTTTACTCACTGCCTCTATAATTCATTTATAATTTAAATAAAACGTATATTTATCATGCTGTTAAGAAAACCAGCAGCCACACACTGATACTCTGTGCATTGCCAAACACTTTTTGTCAAACACTTGCAAAAGATAAAATAGAGAGAACAGAAGTAAGCTCAGCATAATGCTTTATTGGTCTGAAAGAGAGATTGAGAATCATAACCAACAATGCATAACTTGCATTGCAATGCAATACTTAGTTACTTAATTAGTATTAGTTAATGCAATATTGTAAGGAATTTATTTTAAAAGTAATGTGTCTACAGCTCCCTACAGAAGATTCTGTTATGTTCTGTTTCATTAGTTTGTATCTCCTTGTTTTCCTGTTTTGTTCCTATCTAATTTTATTTGTTCCCATTCATCATCACAGTTACTGTAGTTTTATGTTCACTGTTATCTGAAATCCATTTAGTCTGGATAATCACTTTTTTAAATAAAACATCAAGAGATTTCCCAGCACAGACGGCACAGTTTTGAGAGAATGAGCAAGTTTAATGGCGCTCACAATAACAAGAGAGCAGAAGGACATATTTCACGGAGGTCAAGAGCTTCCATGCCCCAAATTCCCAACTTAGCTCAGCTTGTTTTCATCCACAGAGGCAGCTGCCAGCTTTGGAGATGTGCTGAACTTTATTTATAGAGACAGAGAGCTGTAGAGCAGGAATGCCACAACTCTGCTGGTGTTAGGAACCCAGTTTAGTGTCCACTGTTCATGGCAAACTGTGAATCAGAGCGTAGAACCATCATCAAACACAAGCAAATCTCCCTTTTTCTGACCAAAAAGTGGAGTGATGAACCCAGGAAATTGCCAAAGGATGTCTAAACACCAGGTTAACACACATTATGCTAATTAGTTATTGCTATTCAAGTCATTTTATGAAGGTTACTGTGCAGTTATTGTGAAAATCAAGCTGAGAGTCTGGGGGAAGAGCAAACACTGGTTTGTGTTAACCAAATATTTATTATGAAGAATGTCAAGTTTTATAGTTGTTAGTAGTGAGTGAGGGAGTGTGGTGTATTGGACAGGACAGGCTGCTGGTCTGACACATGATGACCGGACTCGGTCTATTCTTGACTCTGAGACGCTTACAGCCACAGCTCGCACACTCGAGGCTGAGCTCACTTCTGTGGTCATCATGGAAGAAGAGAGTCCAGCGAGGAGCATCAATGGCCTCCAGGACGCAGAGATTCCCAAACGCAGCGACGTCAAAGTCTACAAGGAGTTCTGTGATTTCTACGTGCGCTTGTGAGTGTGCGGCTCAAACATCGCAAACAGCTCCTCTTGGGTTCATATGAGTATTCACTTACAGTATTTATTATGCTACTAAATGTTTCAAGTTACAAAAATCATAGCCTACTCATATTTGACTGCATAGGACTTGTAAATAAATACTTGAATGCTGCACACTGCATGATTAAGGTGTGATAAATAGCGTCTGCTAAATGTAAATGTCGATAGGTGTCTTAATGTCCATTTTCGATGAATGTCTGGGTTTTACATGGATCAGTAAAGAACAGTAAATGTCTCATGACATGGACCAGCTCTGTAAATAATGTGATCTGGTTTTCTGTCCTTTCAGTGTGATTTAGAGAAACTGATGATGATATGCATCATGTTCCTGTGCTAACTTAGAGCGTCTCGTTCTGTAAGAGCTGTGAATAAGAGAGGGCTGGAGACACTAGTGAAACCTGATGCCAAAGCAATACATGTCCAGTGACATGTTTCTGTTATGTAAAAGGCTCTAATTGATTTACTGTTTAACATTTGCTGAATGCTTCATAGGCTTGCTCACAGTTTGCTAAAAGGTTAAAAGCTAGTTAGTTAAGCTCATAGTTTGCTTAGCTCAAAGCTGATATGTGGTGACCACATGCCCTGCCATTGATCGACCTGCCTTTCTTCCCGGACAATAACTGGGGAAATGGTAGATTCAAGAATCAGATGAGCTTTTGAACCTTATTTTTAATGGACTGTAAGAACGACATGGCTATTTTTCAGTTGAATGTGCCAGGCTTCCAGTGTCATTCACTTCCAGTTATTATAGCTGTATAGAAACAGTATGTTATGCTGCTTGATGTCGCAAATAGGTATTTGTTATTGCATTACATTAACATTGTAATCATAAAAACACCGGTTTGTAGCACAAATAACCATTCTTCTGGTTATTTACTACTGCACAGTTAGACAAATAGTCCCACACAGTCTTTCTTTGAAAATCATGTGGATATGAGCATTCACAGGTATGGTTTCGCACACTAGTCATTCTGTACTCGTGTTTTTAAAGAAGCAGTCCAAAACTGTGAATCTAAACAAGACAAAACTATTACTGATAAATGCATAACATGCAGTCTTCCAGGCTAGGGTGATCTGCCCTGTTGAAAAAAACAGCATATGCTGGTTAGGTATGTTTTGCAGCTGGGATGCTGGTTTAAGCTGGTCCTAACCAGCATATGCTGTTTTTTTCAACAGGGTGTTGAGCTTCGTGACGTCTGAGACTAGTTAACACTTACTCTGACCGCTGTGTGAGTCGAGTGTGTGGTTCTCCAGAGACCAGATCACACATTCCTCCTGCGGCATGCCTGAGCTTTACAAAGAGCATCCCGCACACACATGCATGCATAGAAGAACAACTGTGATGATATTCTCTGTAATGTGGACTCGTAAGAATTCATTTAGTAGCTTTTATTCACAGGGACTCTTACAGAGACATCTACAGTTAAACTAGTGCTTTGGGTTCAGAACACGTCAAACTCTGTCAGCATTATCCCACTTACCAGAGAGCGCAATATCGACTCTTTTTTCTCACATCTTTGATCAAGCAAGAAACATGGTTACACTCGAAATGGAAGTAAACAGGACAAGACAGAAAATATTAAAGCACACACTGTTTCAGACGTTCATCCACAGTATTTTATATGTGCTGTCATGAGAACATGTTTCTATTGGCTGCATCTGAAAGGCAAGTCCCTTGTTGTCTTGCTGTCCACGTGTGCATCTGAAGGAACATCCCAAACTGACTTCTTAGGCAGCTTAACACTCTCATGACCTCATGCACACGCACAGGATTGTGGGATATCTCAGGCAGTGAAGGATTCATCTACTGTATCTATGCTGCCTCGTGAGGAAGGATCTCAGCAGACGGGATGTGTTGATGCCTTCAAAATAAAGTCTGCGCCAGAAATCAGGCCTTCTTTTCATTCCAAACATATACAGCAGTGGAACGGCAGAATGTTTACATCACTCCTGTGTTATTTGTGTGGTGTTGTGTAGTTTACATGATATAGTCTGAGCAGCGCAGCAGAAATGACTTCTGCTTCTGCAGTGGGAATGCTTTATTGAATGGTTTTCAAATGTCAATTGAATGCATGTTATGAATTCCACCAATCTAGTGACAATGAAAGCATCCAAACAGCATTTGAAATCTGAATAAAATCTAGTAATATGTGACCCCGGAGCACAAAACCAGTCTTAAGTCGCTTGGGTATATTTTTAGCAATAGCCAAAAAAACATTGTATGGGTCAAAATTATCGATTTTTTTTTATGCCAAAAATCATTAGGATATTAAAGGTTTAGTTCACCCGAAAATGAAAATTAGCCCATGAATTACTCACCCTCAAGTCATCCTAGGTGTATATGACTTTCTTCTTTCAGACGAATCCAGACAGAGTTATATTAAAAATGGTCTTTGATCTTTCAAACTGTTGTTGTGTAGTTTACATGATATAGACTGAGCAGCGCAGCAGAAATGACTTCTGCTTCTGCAGTGGGAATGCTTTATTGAATGGTTTTCAAATGTCAATTGAATGCACTGTTATGAATTCCACCAATCTAGTGACAATGAAAGCATCCAAACAGCATTTGAAATCTGAATCAAATCTAGTAATATGTGACCCGGAGCACAAAACCAGTCTTAAGTCGCTTGGGTTTATTTTTAGCAATAGCCAAAAAAACATTGTATGGGTCAAAATTATCGATTTTTTTTTATGCCAAAAATCATTAGGATATTAAAGGTTTAGTTCACCCGAAAATGAAAATTAGCCCATGAATTACTCACCCTCAAGTCATCCTAGGTGTATATGACTTTCTTCTTTCAGACGAATCCAGACAGAGTTATACCATAAAAAAAAAAAAACAGGTAGCCCATCTGAATTAGGACATTTAGGCTATCCATCTAATAGTAGCCTACCAAAATCTTATTAACAGTAGAAGTTAAATCTTTCTGTAGTCTTCAAATCTGGGTACTGTCTTACGTTTTAAAATCACAAAGAGAGTTTGGTCCCATCAGGCTAACGTGACAGTCACGACTCATGCAGCTGTAAGCTTTTCTTTCTCTTTTGTTTTTACTCATGATCTTTACAACACGCATTACATTACGTATTTCATGGCACACTCGTTTTATGCGTATTTGGCGTCACCTATTGTTGTGGGTGTATTATTGACATGTCAAAGTCTAGACCCTGAATATAAGAAGACCGCGTTTTTTCAGATGTATTTCCAACAAAAAAACATCGTCTTATATTCGGGTCAATACGGTACTACATCCACTTTATGTGCTTTACTGTGCAAAGAGAATGGCTTGTCTGTACTCCGTCAACTGTAATTGTGTGTTGCTTCATTGGTCAGTTACTGTAATTGGACAGTCCGCAAGTTCCTTCTCTCACTCTGTTTTTTGGGTTTGGAAACATGTATGCATGCATGCATGCATGCAGAGGAGCATGAATATTGAAATACCATGCTTATATTGTTGGAGAAAAACAGGCTCTCAGAACAGAGAGGGTTTAAAGGGGTTCTTAAACGGGTGGCTGCTGTTATGCAGTTCCTCTCAGAGAATGGACTTTTGTTCCATGGATAATCCATCTTCTCAGCAGGTTTAAACGGAACGTTCAAACGGAATAATTCTTCATGTACGGAGTTATAAATATATTTCACCCCTGACTTGGCACATGTGAACAAACTCAGATTTGTGGTACTTATGGGGAAGTATTTGGATGCTTTCTAAAATGTATACCAATATTTAGTCACATGGGAGATTCATTTTTTATTCAATGAGCAGATGAATCCAACACCCTGATCATATCCTCACAGGCTGTGAAAACATTAGTGTAGATTCTTCATGAAAACAGACTGAGGATATTAATGCTTGAACAGAGGATGAACTGTTTGACAGTTTGCATCAGCTTGATTTGAGAGATTTAACTATTGGATTTAAACTACTTGTTTAAGCATTTCGGCATATTTGATGTTTGGCAAGTTTGACACGGCTTTAGTCTTTACAGGAGAGGTTTTTTGATTGTACATTGACTTACCAGTTTATTGAATATGAATGTAATATAACAGGCTTAACGCAGCACTGCTTTCAGTTACTGTAGTTTCCTATCTGTCAGTCACTTTGACATTGGGTCGATGTACTGACTCCAAGGGTCGCATGTGAAGAAAATCAGAGGGAAAGAGGTGTGAGTCTTGATGATTTGAACAGAAGTTCTCACCAGCCCTGCGGTAGCGTTCTGTAAAGAGTTGCCTGATCTTGCTAGGATAAAGTGTGTAATAGGTCAAATGCTTATGATGGTCAGAATCAGAATGAGCTTTCTTCACCATTGGTTACACCTCTGCTTAAGGTTACAACCATGCAAACATTTCTTCACTTTGATTCTAATCTATGTTCTTCATTATAGTATTACCACATTGTGACAGAATCATAAGATGAATGTTTGTTTGTCTACTCAGCAACATGACGAATGCGTTAGCCAATGCCATCTGTGAGCGCTGTAAGGCCAGCTTCACACCGACGGAGAAGATGGTGAACTGTAATGGTGAGCTGTACCATGAGCAGTGCTTCGTCTGTGCGCAGTGCTTCCAGCAGTTCCTCGAGGGGCTCTTCTATGAGGTGAGACACGTACCCACTCAGATCTAAACCCAACAGTCCTGCATCGCCTGCCGGAGGGATCTCCAGCCCTGCTCCTCGAGAGCTTCAGTTCCAACACCTGACTGTCATTATCAATAACCTGAGCACACTGAGCACACTGCTTATGCTGGGTACACACCACAAGATAATCGGGCTGATTTTGGGCCGATTTCTCCCCTTCCGACAATCCTAGGTAATGTCCAATTATCTTGGTGGCTGTAAAGATTATCTTATCAGATTTTCCTTTGGTGTGAGGTGTGTTAAGAGGGACTGAATCTGCTCGGAAGAACGTCGGAGGCGCCCTGATCGCGAATCATAAATATTCAACATGGGGAACCCCGAGGACACCACACACTATTGGAGCAAAAGGTTAAATCTAGGATTTTTTTGTCCTCATGTTTGTCATCTCTCACATCGTGAAGATCTTATTAGATTTCTAAAATATTTTAGTGTGTACCCAGCATTAGCTGCTTCAGGAGTGGTTGTTTGGGGCTAAAGCTGAAATCTGCAGGATGGTGGTAGACCTACCCTGTTGAAAAAAATCAGCATATGCTGGTTATAAACTGGTTATGAGCTGGTTTAAGCTGGCCATGTGCTGGTCCTAAGCAAGCAGCTTTGATACTTTTGAATTCATTTGTTTATCGACTTTTTCAAATTCATTCATTCCATTTTACTTCTCTGAGATGGTCCAGCCCAGAAGCCTGAACACTGCATCAGTGTGAGCGAACACTTTATAGCAGCTAGTCACCTAACATGGGACATCAGTTGTCAACAAGTTCATTTGCAGATTTAGAACCATTTTTTGGCCTGTTTATAGTATCATATCAAGGACTGTACCACAATCTACAAGCAGCTAAGTTTGCTTAGTTTGAGCAAACCCTGGATTTTTGATACCACAAAGTTGGATAACATTTTAAAGGTATTCAATGCCACAACAAATGCTCCATGACTCACCTATTTAGTGAGATCTGGCCACAATGATTGATCCCTGTCTGACATTACATGATGTCATTAAGGAACAAGGTTTGTTAGTTATATGGATTTTATGCTTTGATTAAAGAAAGGAGAGAAAGAATGAAGAATGTTCTTAATAAATTACATATTAATAAGTCGTGACATTAAAATATTGTCTAAGACACGAGACTTTTATGATGGAGACATAAGCTGCTAATCTAAGACACATGTATCCTGCACTTGCTTTTGCAGTTTGAGGACAGAAAATACTGTGAGCATGACTTCCAGATGCTGTTTGCTCCATGCTGTCACCAGTGTGGTGAGTAGACAAACCTGATCAAGTGTACACTGATGAATCCTGGCGATGCCCAGTGTGAAAACACTTCACTCATCGTTCTATGGTAAAAATATCATTAACAGTGTTTAGGAACCATCGAGATCACCTAGTCGTCAGTTCAGATAGTGTCTCATTGTGTTGAATTTAATGGCTCTTATTCTAAAATGCTCAAATGTGACTGACACTAACCTGACTGAATACAATGAATTAAAAAAATTCAACTTTCATTCTTACAATGAACAGCCACAACATTAAAACCACCGACGGGTGAAGTGAATAACATTGTCACAATGGCACTTGTCAAGGGGTGGGATAGATTAGGCAGCAAAAGATAAAAAGGTATTTCACAAGTTCACCTGACCATCCAGTCTTAAGAGTTAACAGTAAAAGAACGTGACTTGCTGTCCTAAGCGGAGACTCAAGCGCCAGTTTAGAACCCCCTGTGATGGTACAACATGGAGCAGAATGAGAGAAATACAGGTGGAGATGGGGAGGTGGAGGGTTCGGGAGAATCGTTGCAGGGACTGCACATACATGACTGCTGCTTATACACGCTCGTGATGATGATTGACAGGACTGAATGATTAGGCTCCTCCTGAACCTACGTTTGGAACTTCATTTCTTTGTCAAGTCAGTAGAGTTCTGGCAGAAATTTACACTGGTCTGCAGCAATTGCTTATTTAATCCTGAAGACCGTGAGACTGAATTCAGCCATTATTGCAGCATCTGTGATGTGTGTTGCATGTGCTGTGTTTCCAGGCGAGTTCATCATTGGCCGTGTAATAAAGGCCATGAACAGCAGCTGGCACCCTGACTGTTTCTGCTGCGATCTGTGCCAGGCAGTACTCACTGATGTCGGCTTCGTGAAGAATGCAGGCAGGTCAGTCCAGCCGCTGCTGTACTTCAGCGCAAACAAGGACTTTGTGTGCTCCTTCCCTGTTGAAAAAAAACAGCATAACACAAAAACCAGTTAAGTATGTTCTGAAGCATGGCAGCTGGTCATGTGCTGGTCCTAAGTAATTAGTTCCAGCTTAGGACCAGCTCATAACCAGCTTAAACCAGTTCATGACTGACTAATGACCAGCTCAAACCAGCTGCCATGCTTCAAAACATACCTAACCAGCATATGCTGTTTTTTTCAACAGGGTTGTACAACTTTCAGTCAAATCACATAGGGCCTCGTTCATAAAATGTTGCGCAGAAACCAAACTAAATTTGATCTTACGATCATCTCTCAAATATGCATACATGTGATTCATAAAATGAACGTATGCACAGAAAACACACGTATGCGTCTCTTTCAGATGAAAGAGTGAAATCTATGAATCGCAAATGATCTTGAACTTGCGCGCAACTGAATGGTTTCAGCTCTCTGCTTGTAAACGACTCCTAATTAATGTCATTAACATGTAAAAGATCACCAGTCATCATCCAAATTCTTTAATTTAGAACAGTGAGCTGCAAGAACATCTTACATTTCCAAAAACCTGCAGTACTCCAACAAGAAAAAGTGTGTACCTCTGCTCAGACCCTGACGTGACGCTAAGCACTTTTCCACGTCAAAGACCGTTTTTACAAATGTGACCTTGGACCACAAAACCAGTCATAAGAGTCAATGTTTTTAAAATTGAGATTATACATCATCCGCAAGCTGAATAAATAGCTTTCCATTGATGTATGGTTTGTTAGGATAGGACAATATTTGGTCGAGATACAACTATTTGAAAATCTGGAATCTGAGGGAGCAAAAACATCTAAATATTGAGAAAATCATCTTTAAAGTTGTCCAAATTAAGTTCTTAGAAATGCATATTACTAATCAAACATTAAGTTTTGATATATTTACGGTAGGGAATTTACAAAATATCTTCAAGGAACATGATCTTTACTTAATATGCTAATGGTTTTTGGCATAAAAGAGAAATGTATAATTTTGACCCATACAATGTATTGTTGGCTATTGCTACAAATAT